TTGGGAAGAAAAATACGGCTTGGTATGCCGTGGACGTATGCCGTGGACCATGCTAAGCCTGAGCAATCTGCTTTGCTGAGTTGCTAGGCACGAGACATGGATCCATACGATGAAGCGACCTGGGAGGTTGCTGATGGACTCAAAGGCGTTGAGAGATTGCGGAACATTTGTTGATACCCAGTTCGGAGAGAAATAAGTCATTTCTGATGTGTTTGCACTGATCATGGTGAACATGGCCTCAAGTTGTAGCTGCAAAGATGTTGGCTGTGATATGTTATGCTTTGTTGCTAACAATTACTGACTACTACAGGGGATGGCTATCAAAGGATGTGAATGTGCATGACATTAAACACACACTCACACTAAGTGCTTATGGATTCAAAGTGACTCAATGATTTACAAGATGAAGCTGACCTGGAAATTCTTTGTTATTGGCTCATGTTTGCATATAATTGTGAAACGTGGATGTCCGCATCGATGTCAGGCCGTAGGGGTAGCACACTTCGGCCACTGAACATATAGAAGAATATTTTGATACCCTATGCCTTTACGATTTGACGTTGCATCGCCGCATTTGAATAATCTCTGGATACACGTTCTATGAGGCCTTTGGATAGATAATGAACTACATCTAGTGATCCCCGTCGAACTGCAGGTAAGATTCGCTGTTAAGGCTTCAACTTGAATCGATAATGGCTGGCTCGGCTGATTAGCAGAATTGTTAACAATTATAGGTGTAACAGTTCACTGTCGTATCATAAAGGTATGATTCACAGTATCACTGACCTAGGTTAGATTGTTAATGACATTGCATAGATTGTAACGGTGTCATAAGATCAACCCTTAAACACTTAGAGCGAAGAATAAAGACATCAACAAACTGAAGCATAGAGGTATGGTGATTTTTCGTTATGAAAGCATCCTTCATAGTATGTATCGCTGGTGGTGTTATAGCAATTCGGATCCAGCTATACGAGTACGGTGGATCAACTTGGAATATGTCGTATCCGCATAACGTGCGAAACATCCTCAACTTCACCAGTCATATTGGTGACTCATGCTAAGAGTTACTCAGACCTTCGTTGGAGCTCGATTGTATGATTACCTACCTAGTCAGCTCTTACAACTATGTTTCTCCTACTAAAGGGAGGTGTTGTGTGTTACAACAATGCGTCACCATGCTTTTGAAATGACTATGACCTTAACGCTTTTAGATGCTTCAAGTGAATTCTGGTACACTGATGGCGTGATATCATAACGAAACAGGTGAAATTCCATTAGGCAAGTAGAACAAGAGATTGATGGCTATGTGCGTTAATTTAGAGCGATACTTGATAAGCTACCGGATTGAGAGGTATATTGAACCTGTTTATATTGAACCTGTTGTAAGCTGTAGGAGGGTGATAGAACTTCAAGTCCCACAAACCGGTCGTCGGGCAAGCCGGAACCAAAGCCCTTTGCCAGTTATGAAAAAGCTGCAGGTGGCTGGTGACTTTGGATGTTGCGACTGTCAGGGATGCTCCCCCGCGGGCAGGCATACCTGGTTTACCCCACTATGACGGCAAGCTAGAGCACCTCGACACTTTTCTTTGCCTATGACTCGGCTCGTCTAGAACAGCTCCGCGATTCGGGGCAGAAAATATTGGATATAGACTGAGGGACGGTCGCGAGGAATCAGGGCTAGCATCTCCATACCATACATACAGTCTATACGACCACATCTCGCTGTCTGCTTGAATTGCGCTGCTAATCGCACTTCGAAACGTTCTTTCTGTTCGTCGTTAACTCTCATTAGAGCCAAGTAGTGGCCCTCCATTCCTTACCGCTGCAGCATACCCCGGCCTCGTGCGCCAAAAAAGAAAACATTGAATTTTGAAACTTTGCCCATTGACCATGGCCACAAACGGCACGGCGCTGCTGAGCAATACTAGTCCTGGAGGCTGGATCGTGCAAAAGTTTGGCGGCACGAGCGTGGGCAAGTTCCCTGACAATGTTGGTTTCCAGCCTGAACACCCCTCTGCTAGTAGAACGCAGCTAATCGTGTCCGATTTTGCAAACAGATTGCCCGCGACATTGTGCGGTACGACCAAACACCGAGCCTTTGGCTCTCCCTACAGCTTTCAACAAATCTGTACTGACGCCTGTGACAAAGTGAGAGCTTAGTTTCAAACAAGATTGTGGTTGTCTGCTCTGCAAGAAGCACGGGGAAGAAGGCGAGCGGTACTACGAGTCGGTGAGTGTCTGCAACTGAGACTGACGAACTGGCCACGCAATGGGACTTCGAGCTAACCAATACTCGTAGATTACTCGAAATCTTCAAGAAGCTCCGCGACATTTCCGCAGCTACCAGCAATGCGCTGAGTCAAACCGAACTCATCGAAGAAGCCAAGGCGACGATCAGCGATATCAGCAGCGACCATGTCCTTGCCGTCGAAACCTTTATTGCAAACCCTGACTTGCAGAAAGAGACCTCCGAGGGCATACAAGAGGACTGCAACGAACTGGTAGAATACATCCTCGCCGCGAAACGGTTTAACCTCGAAGTCAACGCTAGGTCGAAAGACAGGGTTGTTAGCTTCGGCGAGAAACTGAGTTGCCGTTTCATGGCAGCTATGTTGAAAGAGCACGTAAGTTGCACTTCCAGCAAGTGTTCATCAATATGTTCTAACGAAGGACATAGAATGTAGACGCCGAATATGTCGATCTTTCCGACATTTTGCACTACGACAGCTCTGAGAGACTCACTCCAGCCTTCTTCACCGACGCGGCTGCCGTCTTTCGCAAGAGAATAGAAGTTTGTGGTGATCGGGTACCCGTCATAACGGGGTTCTTTGGAAACGTGCCCGGGAGCTTGATCAATGGAGAAATTGGTCGAGGGTACACTGATCTTTGCGCCGCATTAGCTGCGGTCGGAATGAAGGCCGCAGAATTGCAAGTGTGGAAAGAGGTGGACGGTATCTTTACAGCCGACCCGACCAAGGTCCCGACCGCACGACTATTGAGCTCCGTCACGCCGTCCGAAGCCGCCGAACTCACATTCTATGGCTCTGAGGTTATTCACCATCTGACCATGGACCAAGTCATCAAGGCACATCCCCCGATACCGATCCGCATCAAGAACGTGAAGAATCCCCGCGGAAACGGTACCATCGTTGTCCCTGACCCGGTACAATCTGCTGGACAACAAATCAAGAGATCTCGACCGTCGGACGCATCATTGAGAAAGACTCCGAAGCGACCCACTGCCGTTACAATCAAGGATAATATCACGGTTATTAACGTGCGTTCGAACAAACGATCGATTAGCCATGGGTTCTTCGCCAAAGTGTTTTCAATCTTGAATAATCATAGGATCTCTGTCGATCTTATCTCGACATCCGAGGTTCATGTCTCGATGGCCATCCACCAAATCAGCTCCTCTATCCACCACTTCGAAAAGGCTAAGAAAGAGCTGGAGGAGTGTGGCGATGTCAGCATATTGGTTGACATGGCCATCTTGAGTCTCGTTGGTGCTGAGATGAAGAATATGATCGGTGTCGCTGGGCGCATGTTCTCTACCCTTGGAAAGCACCAGGTGAACATTGAGATGATATCGCAAGGTAAGTGTTCTTGAGAAATCATTATATAACTGTTTGACTGACATATTATTCAATAGGCGCTAGCGAGATCAACATTTCTTGCGTCATTGACGCACGCGATGCCACGAGAGCTATGAATGTTCTGCACACGAACTTATTCACGTTTTTAGAATAGAGATCCAAAAACTTGAGAAGGTCGAAAAAGGCGGCCAAAAGCATTAAAAGGGGGCGGGGCATAAAAAGGCGTTTCCGGGCGAAGTGATCACCGCCTACTTGCTTTCCAACTTGTCTTTCGTTGAGGGCGATACCCTGAAAAGCTGTACATGCATATTTATGTAGACCTGCGAACATACTCTAAACCTAGGAGCGGACATTTGTATTTATTCATAGCGGTCAGTTAGGAGAATTTACTCCACGGGGCTCAGATATTGTGGTTCAAGGTGTGTTGATTCAATACAGGCGTCAAGTGATCCTGGCACTGATGATAACGGTCTGCGACTCGATATCGCAACTCGACCTCGCAAATTTATCACGTTCTGTCCTCCGTCACTGTCTTATTAATATGACTATGGGACTGGTCAACGCATTGATATTCTACTGCAAATCTCGATCGGTTCACACGTTGGTTTTGGAGGGCGTCATGGATGAGTCCGTCACGATGACGTCTTCAGAATCATATACTACGTATTATCAACGCGATCTCGCCAATATGGGACTCTCTTCACTTGTTATCAGGTTACACGTCTACTCAATATTCCATCTCATATATACCAAAGAGCACATCACGTCGTCGCAATGCCGTCCGGAACAGAGGAGGCAAACGCAAAGTACCAGCAAGGCGTCGAGAAGACGCGGGCGCCGGCTAATCGTATGTCGTCCGTCTATTTACAAACCAGCATCAAAGACAACCACATTCTATTGGATCGTCAAGTCCCTGTGTATTTTCTTGTTGTTTTTCCGAACTTGGAAATGTTGAGTGCTGATCCCTGAGCAATGAAGAACCAGTCGATAGAGAAGACGCACGCCGGAATGCAGATAATCCTAAGACGGGTTACTACGTGTCGAAACTCGCCAAGGGCGATACGGATGCTTCGAATTATGATCCTGGGCATTTTGGGGGTAGTGGTAAGGGATAGGGTGTAGTAGGCAGAGAGAGGCTGGTGATGGGTTGGGAGGGGTTCATGGGAAGAGAAGTACATGGTGGCTGTTAAGTATGGTTCTTGTGGTCCTGTATATTCCGCGGCAAAACACACAATGTATTTCTTCTCCTCGTGAATACGTGAAGCTGATTATGTGCCCTGACAATTCTATATGCAGAAAAGGGAATCGAGCTTACCTACACCTAAGTCCCGCGGATGATCCGTCGCCAAGTCTGCAGCTTCATAGCATAAATTACTACATCTCACTCACAACAAACAGAAAGGTCGGTTAGCTCAGTTGGCAGAGCATCGCAATTACATTCATATCCAATACGAGTATGTTGGAGAATTACTGCGAAGGCCATAGGTTCAAGCCCTATACTGACCAGGATCTATCTTTTTTGTTGATTTTAGGGGGGTTGAGTAGTTCTCATGGGGCAGAATGCTTTTTTGGTGGTTGGTTGGTAGGTGATTGGTGGGATTAGTGGTAAATAAGAGTTCAATGATGTCTCCGATGTTGACTTATGGTAACGATTTAGACTCGAGAGTTGCTTCTGTTTGTCTGATGTCGGCGTTTGATTTGGGGTTGGTGGCAGTAGAATGTGGGGAAATGCAATACGTGACGCCGGCTCTTCAACACCTTTACGAATAGTCCATAGCACAAGAGTCACGCATTTTCTTGTAACTGCCAATTTCTCGCTGCTGCCATATCGACTACCAATGTTCTGCCAGACAAAATGGCACTGAACAAAGACTCCGATATCCTGATAATAGGATCAGGTGTCTTCGGGCTCTCAACCGCGCTCTGGCTGGCCAAATCGGGATACCGCTCCGTAACCGTCTTCGATATGCAGGACACAGAATCGACCTGCTATGATCCTGCAGCGGGGATCGACTCAGCGTCTGCTGACATTAATAAAATCATTCGGTTCTCGTACGGGAGGGAGATTGAATACCAACGCCTTGCGTCCCAGGCTGCTGAGCTTTGGGAGGAGTGGAATCAGGAGGTTGCGGATGCGGATGCTGACGAGGTACCTGAGGTGCTGAGAAGTGAGAGGAAGCTTTGGTATAACTGTGGATTTTTGAGGATGGGTGCGGGTGATGAGTTGGCGGAGTTTGAAATTGAGACGCTTAGGAATATGGAGAGGGAGGGGGTTAGGGAGACTCAGTTTAGGTGTGATGATGAACTTGGTAAGTGGACTGATATATTCTCGTTAGAGAAATATTGACATGTTTGCGTTTTAGATGTAAAGAGAGCAGCGCACACGGGCTGGGCTCACAAATTAGATGTATGTCATCGGCAGGAGAGGTTTGGTGTCCATAAAGCGGTCTTGGACTCGAGTGGAGGCTTCGTGGCTGCGTATAAGAGCTGTGCGTGGGCACAGCATCTCGCTAAGCGGGCTGGCGTCAAGTTCGTCTTTGGTTCTGTAAAGGGCAAAGTTACTTTGATAGGCGATACTGTTGATAATAAGCCCTACGTTCTCACATCGGATGGTACGAGCTATCGGGCGGATTTGGTCGTTGTTGCTGGTAAGCGGAATACCCAATTTTGCCAATAGTCACTCGTCAAATATATATGCTGACTTACCGTTCAGGAGGTGGTTGGACGGCAGGTCTTCTCCCCGAAGCCGCAGGTCTCATAGAAACAACCGCCGGCTCTGTAGCGACCATTCAACTTCCCAAAGACCGGCCAGATCTATGGGATCGGTTCTCGCCGGAGAAATTCCCGGTGGTGACTTGGGGTATGAAGGAGGGAAAAGATATTTACAGTTTCCCTCGCGATGAAAATGGTGTGATTAAAATTGGATATCGAAAGACGAAGTGGACGAACTATGAATATGTGTGGGGGAATAAGATATCGGTGCCTAAGACTGCTAATGTCACGGAAAAGAAGGAGGTAAATATTCCAGTTGTGGCTCTGGATGCTATCAAAGGTACGTTGCTTCCTTTACGTGATGGAGATGATATCTCATCAACTGATTATTGATTTTGGATATAGAGTATATATCGGTAAATCTCCCAGAACTCGCCGAGTTAGGCATATCATCTACGAAGCTCTGTTGGTACACAGATAGTATCGATAATTCATTCGTGGTCGACTTTGTACCGGGGCGTCCGGACGTCGCTATATGCTCAGGGGGGAGTGGGCATGGATTCAAGTTTCTACCTATTCTTGGACGGGAAGTTGTGAAGATCCTTGAAGGTCGAGGTGATCAAACTGTGTATGGGCAGATGTGGAAGTGGAGATCGAGTAATGCGGCTACGAGAAACGGACTTGAAGAAGGCGAAGAAGGTCGAAGAGTGTTGGGAAAGCAGGATATGGCCAGTGAGGTCGATTGGGTATCCTGATATAGAAGAATGGGGAATGAAGATGTTTAGAGCTTACCCCGAGGCTGTGGAGATACTTAGTCGCCAGGCAGTAATGAATTGAGATCTGGTCTGAAGTATACCGTATGTTAGGTTAAGGTTAGAGCGGTAACACAGAGCGGTGAATTGCCTCCTTGCTGCTCAGATCTCGGTGTAACATCAAGAGATACAGTCAGGGTTTGATATCAGAAAAGGGCAGTCAAAGACGACACTGACATCAAGGTTACCTGTAGAGAATCTGTATCAAAGGCGAATTTGAATCAGTCGACTAGTATCACCGTACATGACCCGATAATCCGAGGCATATTTTTATCTGCGGCATAAAAACCACCAAAGTCAAGATGAATATAGATATGCTGTGCTGTCTGTACCACTCAATGATTAAGTATCGTCTGCATCTGCCAGAAATACAACATCACGGCGGACTTTATGGCAGACATTCTGACACGGAGGTCTATGAAGAGCTGGCCCGTGAGGGCAAGAAGTATCAGCTTGCTGTGACTAGAGTGACGAATTCATATATAAATCATTTGTAAGATATTCATTGCTTTTAAGATTCACATTCTTTTTGATTACAACTTCGGTGCTTAAGCTGGTCAGAAATCTGCCAATTACTATGCTTTGGAAATTGCCCCAGGCTATTCTAGTGGCAGCATTTCTGCCATTCGCCACTGCCGATTTCTGGCTCACGTATCTGAACCAGAGAGTGAGTGATGATGATGGCGTCGATGTCTACGAAGGGGGCACATTTACATCGGACCCGCCTCAATGGAGTTGTGATGATTGGGATATCTTCAATCATCCAATTCACCAGATAGCGGACGACGTTAGTGGCAGTAAACACGGCATGAGAGTGGGTGAGTATGACGAAGTTGTGTTCATCTGACTTTGCTTCACAAAATGATCGAAGAGATGGACGTGCTTACTCATGTGATCGATTGACTACTAAATTGAAGGGTGGCAGATCCGAAGACAAATAAGGGCCCTCCTTTATACCGAGATCCCCTAGATGTAGTCGAGTTCAACACATGGAAGACAAATCCGGGACATCAAAGTAAGTAATTACTAGCTCTGACCATCTGACTCCAAGAGCTAGAGGCTTGATGGCTCCCCGTAAGGCATATCACTAACGGAGTGATCATCGACAGCAATCTACGCGGATCGGGGATATGTCATGGTGGATATCAATGGTCACTCGACTGGCCAATGTCATCTAAACAGAACGTTCACCATTCAACTGTTCTGCGGCACCTCATTTACCGATATCAGTCTTCGAGGCTCGTCTATGTTCTTTTGCGAAACACATCTGATGCCGAGTGACTTTGATAGCACGACTGTTCTTGAATTTCAAGGGGCTTAGAGCTATCTCGATGACCAAGGCGACGCAGAGTAAACTATGCGTCGGAGAGAATCTTGCCATGGAGAATACTTGATGATTCTGGTAATCTCAAGGCTTTTGGTAGGGCGATTTCGCGAATGGGTGCAAAACCTTCATTGGAATACCTAGTGCTGATAAGATCTCATCAAACGAGGGTCTAAATGCATGTTCATTCAGTAGTTGCCTTGAGAACGTCATTTTGTTACAACCTAATCTGACTTCATCCGTCCTATACAAACACGAAACGAGAGAACTCGTTTGACAGGACTAGGGTTCGTTCCCTCAAGTGTGTATTCTTCTGAAAGTTAGGATCTCTATCAGTGTGTCTCTCCCATAATTGTTGCCGTAACATGTCGCACAGGAGGAGCTGTGTATTGATTTGCTCATTGTTGTACAGAAATAGCAAAGTATACCTAGCTTAGGTATAGCTAGGAGGGAAGTCGGAATAAAACGATTGTGCAGTTGCTTCTTTCCGACTTCAACTGAAAGTGTGCCTAGATCTATTCTGCCATCAAAAAAAAGCTTCACCCATACCCGGTCAATCCAGGCAGATGAAGCAAAAGCAAAAGCAAAAGATGATGCGGTGAGTGTGGATCGAACACACGACCTTCAGATTCATGACAGAAGTTGTGCTTCAGTCTGACGCTCTCCCAACTGAGCTATCCCCGCTTTCGACAATTTTTCGAATCTTAGTTAAAATCATATATCATGGTCACCGAGGACCTCACCTCCCACCACCCAATCTCTTGTCTTTTGCTACTTTGTCAGTTCTTCCCCGGGAGGCCGCAAGGTAATACGTCAAGTAAATGCGCACGTGCGTCTCTATTGCATTCAATCGGGCTATCTCTCTGGAGTCTGGACACCATGCGTCTGTAACTCCTGTGAGGTGGGGTGTAGCATTATTATGTAATCCGTTCTCAGCATCGGCCCCACCGCTAGCCAGGTGACCAATCATAGGGAACATACCTTTTCGGCGCTGGTACCTAGACCTGTCTGCTCTTGTCGAATTCTACAGGGCCAGCTGCGGGAGGACAAGCGCATTCCCTTCCAAATTCCAACAGCACCATCCCCGTATCACACTCTACACATCTCCCAACGCAGCACACACCGTAGCGCATTCACAGTAGCACCGGCTGCACCATCGCCAAAGATGCCGAAAGCAGAAGCCGGGTCCGTCAAGGACCTGAGTAAGCGCATGAAGATGAAGGGGCTACAGCGCCTGAGGTTTTTTTGCCAGGTCTGTGAGCGTCAAATGCGAGACGAGAACGGATTCAAGCAACATACGATGAGCGAAAGCCATGTCCGTCAGATGATCCTCGTCGGCGAGGATCCAAAGAAACATATCGAGGACTTCAGCAAGCAGTTCTCCCGAGACTTCCTCCAGCTCTTGCGCACCTCCCACGGCGAGAAATCTGTACACATCAACCATTTCTACCAGAACTACATCGCCAACAAAGAGCACGTGCATATGAACGCTACGAAATGGCCTTCACTTACCGAGTATGCGAAGTACCTGGGACGAGAAGGCATTTGCAGAGTAGAAGAGACGGATAAGGGCCTACATGTTGCCTGGATTGATGACTCGCCCGATGCTCTGCGCCGGAAAGAAGCTGTGAAGAGGAAAGAGATGCAAGACAAGGGTG